AACAAACGGAGAATTATATTGATCAAATGGCATTTCCCGAATTAATGGAGAAAACGAAAATCAAACAGCAGCAACAAGTACGACAAAGTGATGCGACTAATAAACAATTAAAAAACGAGAAATTTAACTATATTGATGAACAGTATTTTGGTACGATTAAAGAGACCGGTGATGGACCAAACGAAATGCAGCATCAAATTCAAGCTAAATCTAATGAAATGCCAAAAACCGAAGATATGAATTATATTGACCAAAATTATTTTAGTACGGAATTCAATAAGCATACAGTAAAAGATGATATTATGGCAGATAAAATTAACAATGAATCTCTACTAACTAAGAAAAAATCTGGTAATTGTAATATCGTGGCTTTATTTATTCTCTAATAATGATAATAGTCTGAGGTGATTTTGGAGAGTAGAGTTAACTCGACTTTGAGAGATCAGATTCATAAATAAGCACTTGCTGAAACTATCACTCTTTGATTTTTGTCGTTTTAGTACAAACGACTATATTTTGATTCAAGCACGATCTAGGCTGAACTCTGCAATACAGCATGAACTGGTAGCTATGTTGTTCGATATGTACTTTAATGATATTGTATTCGAATCTCGGTACCAGTGAACGTGATGGAATAGTTAGTGCGTGTCCATGAGGAGTTTAAGTAATTGAGCGAAAAGACTCGTGGTTCAGACTAGTCTTACGAGCAGAGTATTCTTCCTCCTTCTATTTTCTTTTAAACCTCAAAGTGACTGACTAGATTTCCAGTTCGATTCAAAGTTAAAAAGTTTTTCACAGATATGCAACAGAATTCTTATGTTAACCCTGAACATAACTTTTTACTTCATTGTTCTATCAATTTTTCTAGTCTGTACAAGAAACTTATACAAAAGACGTCTCGCACATCCATTCTTTTTAATGAAAAATAATGTACATCCTAATTTTCTGATCCCATTATAATTGGAAAAATGTTTTTTGCTTGATCGAATCTGATGTAATCTACAAATTAGCATTAATCGTTTCATTCTCCTTTAAACATCACATATGTTTTTATCTTTAGGTTTAATGACACCATCTTCTTCAATCAATACAACCACAAAGACAGCTTCTTCTCGAGTACTACCGGAAATAAATTTTCAATTTCGATTACCAGATTCGCCAGTCAAATCGCCAACTCCGTCGCATTCACCATCGTTCAAGAAACTATCTCAGTCATTTCCATCTACGGAACATGATCCACTACTGAAAAAATATAATCCAAAATTAGAATCGATGCGCAGTATTAAATCAAAAGATTATTTTGATCCACCGAAACCCGACACAATTGATTTTGACGATGTAGAAGCCTGTGAAGATGCAGAAAAGCAAGCAAGAATTATACGAGAAAAGTTATTGAATGTAAAAAAAGGCATTAATGGTACACTGTGTATGATTTGAGTTAAGAGGGCAAGATTGTCAAAGAGATGTTTGTTTATTCTAGAAAAACAAGCTAATCGAGATAGTCTTGGTTATCGTACAATGGATCATTTAATACCGCAATGGTGGAATATGACAAAAGCTGAAATAACCGACATTTTATTGAAGCAAATATGCTTTGTTGATCGTGAGTGTAGAATCATGTAATTCTTTCACACAATAATTTCGATTCTTTGTCTTTTTAGACGGACTGCTTGCCATAGACAAACCGTATGGACTGCCTACGATAGGCAAGCAAGTATTTAACTAATCATCTACTTATGTAATATTTTTGTCTCCGATGTTTCAAGGTGGTCCTGGAATATCAACATCCATAGCCCATTTTATTCCGCATATAATTGATCGTCTAAAACGTCCTGATATTCGACAGTTACATATATTACATCGTCTAGATAAACAGTCAACGGGTGTTTTAATATTAGCATAGTATGTACATTTGTATTTAACATTCCGCATTTATATTCTTTTATTTTTATATTGTATTATTATTTCTAGTTCATCAGAAGCCGAAAAACGTTTTCGTGATCTTGTAAATGAAAGAAAACTGATTAAACAATATCTAGCAATTGTTAAAGGAATTCCACAACCTAACGAAGGCATGTAGAATAGAGCCATCTCCTTTCTTTGAAGAAAATATTATTTTTGTTTTATGTAGGAGAAATCAATATACCTATTTATGAACGTGATATTAAAGGAACATACAAAGTTAGTATTTCGAAAAACTCATAAGCGATTAATGAATAGTTTGCTTTTTCTGTTTTACAATTAGATGATGTTATCACCTGAATACGATGAATTAGCAAAATTAGTTATACAAAAAAAAAAACGTGAAAAAGTAGAAAGCTCAAAAGCAATAACAAAATATCGTGTACTTGATTCAAATTATGGAACATCTCTTGTTGAATGTCAACCAGTAACTGGTAAAGCAAAAATATCATTATACATTAAATAGTTTATTCTATTTTATTATTTTAGGTGTTAAGCATCAAATACGTACACATCTCGCATTTGCTACTGGATGTCCAATTTTAGGTGATCATAAATATTCACATTATGCAAAATTAGTTCCACAAGTAACTTGACTAATCTTTATCTGCTACTAGATGCAAACATTTATTTTTTGTAAATTGTTCTTGTTTAGAAATTAGACTTAGTAACATTGAAAAAATTGAGTGTACGTCAGGCTAAAGTTCGAACTATACCAATGTGTTTACATTCATATGGTGTTGCTATACCAGGATTTTTAAATAATCAACAAAACATCTTTATTCGTGCTAGAATACCGTACCATTTTCGACATTTTTTGCAACATTTAAAACTGAGAATGTGAACAACTTATACGTCTTATTTTTGTACTGTATTCATATAATAAACTATTCAGTAAAATCTAAATTAAATAGAAAGTTGAACCTAATGCATTCCTTTATATAAATAAAACAATATTGGACGCATAATTATATGAAACTTTTATTTTGAATCTGTCTAATAAGATAAATAAGAAAGACACTTGTTGAAAGTTACAATAAGGAAAATTAGTTTTCAAACTCGTACGTTCTCTGATAATAAATCAAAGAAAATCAGTCAAAAAGAAAATCAATAAAAAAAAAAAAAAAATAAAAAAATAAGTTTTTTCTGTTCATTGTAGTAGAACCATATTGCTGAGCTATTATGATATGTTCTAGAACGGTTTGCTTAATTCGAACAAAATAACCGAAAACAAAACTATTTTTTTTGAGATGAGTTTCATTCATTTTCAGAATTTGAAAAAGTCGAAACGGTTGTTCAATTATCTTCACATTTTTTAACCAACATAGTTTTTCGTCACTATGTCACATCTAAAAGATAGCTGGTTATCGATATTTTCCCACGATACTTATGCAATTAAACTATTCTATGAATGCGTCAGTTTGTAGAGCAACCTTCTGTAGTCATAATGAGACATATCACAACTCTGTGTAACCTTCTGTTAAACAGCTACAAGTATCTTCCTACACGTCCTAAAATGCAGTCAAGTCTAATTCTCGTCAAAAATAGAGCTTTCCGAGAAGTTCGTCAGCACTTTTCAGCACTCTCAATACCGGACAAACCTTTGTTGCAGGAATATCTACTTTTTTTCATTCTTATTTTGAGGATAGCTTTGGAAAAACTCAACATTTCGAGTTCAAAACTTGAGTGTCACGCTTCTAGGATCAGATATATATTCTGTAAAAATGTTGGGACGAAAATTGGTTTCTGACAGAAAGAGCGTTAATCTGTTAATACTAATTGGCATCAGACGTTCTTTAAATAAATTCCTTTTATCTCATATGAATTATACCTCAAGTCATCAAAAGGAATTTAGAAGCAAAATGACAAGTAATGAATAATATTTAATAACACTTATGAGTTCTTTTGATATTTTATTAGCGTTTGTCAATGTAATTTTTAATTTGAATATAAAATTGAAACAAATCTAAGTGGTAGCAGATGCTAGCTCAAACAAATTACAGCGTTCGTACTATCCACTTTCAAAAAACAGAAGCAGGAGAGGGTTTTAATTTTTAATTATCCGTCCAGTATTATTATTGTTGTTTTCGTTCATCTTCCTCTTTTTCTATACGTACAACAACTAGAGGTGGATGGGACAGGTCTTTTTGTGATGTGAATGTGTAGAATTTGTACAGGCAGTCTTTATGGGGACATTCTGATCCTTGGTGTGTCTTTCTGGTCGAAAAGTTCACAAAGCAGATCGAAATGTCGAGGTGGTGTGAGAGGATGCTAGTGAAGCTTAACGCTAATAAATGTCAATGGATTGTTTTTTCTACTGTTCTTTCCAGTACAAATAAGTTAGGTAAACTGAAACTAAACGGCATTTCGCTTGAGAACGTTTCTTCTTTAAAATTGCTCGGAGTAGAGCTTGTTCACAATCTAACTTGGAAAGAACATATAAATCAAACGGCTGCTAAATGCAGAAGGATGTTAGGTTCTACTTCTAGAGTGTTCGGCACCGCAGCACTATATCTCCGTCTTCATCTTTACAAAGTATGTGTCAGGCCGGTTCTTGAATATGCTTGTATTCTTTACGACAGTTCATTTAAATCACATCTGTCTATTTTGGATGATGTGCAGCGTTTGGCTGCCAGAGTTATAATGAAAGACTACTCGATCGATCCGATAACACTTCATTCCAAATTAAAACTTTGTTGTCCCGAAAATCGTAGACTCTATTTCAAACTCATTCATTCCATAAAATTTACTATGGCACAAGTACTCTTTCACATCTTAAACTCATTACATCTTCTCATAATCGGAAATCTATGCGTTTTGGGCATGACAAACAGGTTCTCACTACACATTTTTCCACAAAAGCTTCATCCTCTTCTTTCTTACCCCTCACCTCTAAGCAGTGGAATGGTCATCCTGCCTCAATAGCACACACGGCCAATTTAAATTTATTTCAAATGCTTCTCAAAAACCATGTAAATTATTTTTAGTATGTTTTGGTTGTTTCTGCTATTCTTGTGGCTCATAAGGACTATTGTTGTTCTTTCTTTCTCTCACTGTATTGTGATTCATTTTTTCTCTCTCACTATCGGCAACCGTGCCTCTTATGTAAGCGAAATTTTCTTTTTTGCTTGTTTACTGTTTCCTGACTATCTTAGTCAAAACACATTCATTCATTTATACTCCCTATATAAGTTACCTCGTTTTTTCTTCAGTTGTCTCAGAGTATTATTAAACCATGGTTGATCATTAGATTGCTTCCGTTACAGCTAGGGCAAATCGTACTGTAGAGAATTCAGACGAAATAAGTTTTTTTTGCTCGATGATTAATACAAGAAAGATTTAGATACTTATTTCTAGAAAAAACATTGTCGCACATTTCTTTGTATTAAGGGGAAGAAACCAGTCCATTTACATTTTTGCTCTGGTTGTGATTTCGTATGTTATGTAAATCAAATTGCTCAACGTATGCTTCATTTTCAGTTTCGTCAGTACCCCCAAAAATAACTAGAGCATAGCTAATGACACTAAGTAGATAGGCATGATAGATAGAGTTTAGCGTCTCACGAGAATTCCTTCGGTTCAAGTACTTCATCGAGCCCACTGTGCGTGAAAGTTTCTTGAAAATATCAAGAATATGTGTCTTCCATTCTAAAGTAGGCGTTAGTATCAATCCTAAATGCACATACGGTAATATAGAGTTATCAATAAGTAAAGGCAGATAAGGGTCTTAATAACACTCTTGAATAGCATACAAGTACATTTCTTTACATTCAATGGAAGGCACCATCTCTTCGACCATTCACACACCTTCTTTAAGTCATCGTTCAGTTTAGCAGCAGCTAGTACGATATTATTATTTACCTTAGTATACAGTGATACATCATCCACAAACATTTTGCACGACGGGCTCAGAGCAAGTGGCAGGTCATCTATATATACCAAAAATAAGAGTGGTCCCAACACGGATCCCTGAGGAACACCACAAGTCACCTTTAGTGGATCAGAGGTTGCCCCGTCAACAACCGTAACAATATTTCTGTTGGTTAAATAACATTCAAACCAGTCCACCATAGAATCAGATATACCTTTATTACGTAATTTCATCAATAAACCTGCCTGAGATACTCTATCGAAGGCTTTGCTAAAGTCTAAAAATACTGCTAAATCAATACTGCTGGGGTGGCACTTTACTAGTTACTCAGCGTTACTTTACCAGGTAAAGTAACGAAGTTAGTTACTTAGTTACTTAGCAAATAGCAATTATATTAGTTACTGGTTATCAGTAACGAGTAAATAATGTGGTTACTTAGTTACTAGTAACGAGTAACTATGTTCGTTACTAGTTACAAGTAAAGTAAAGGTAAAGTGCCACCCCTACTGACCTCCAAGCTCAGGTACAATTGTATTGATAATAATCCATTTTTCTGTCGACGCATATAACCATCATGGTTTTCCCAACCAACATAATTATATTTTAATGTGTCACTGAAAGGCAAAGGTGAAGGATAGGTATTTGTTCAGGTCAATTATTTTCTTCATAATTATTGAGAAAAATATACTGAAAATTCGATAGAATTGATTTTATTTTATCGCGGCACATAGTTTTAGATATATCATTCTTTAAGAGCTCATTTAACAAACATGTTTCATTAAATAGCTCATTATAGACTATACATAAATGAGTCCTATATGATTTGTAGACACGAGACTTTTTTTAATAAAACACCAAAGAACCAGAGAATAAATCTTGTTAAATAAGCTGAAACGAAAGTTAATATTATCATAGAAGATTGACATTATATTATGCTAATTGATTGACTGACTGCCTTCAGTTAAACATTAATAAGAAATATTTGACAATGTTAAGAAACGAAGATTTATGTAAATTATGGAAAATAGTGATGAATGAAGAGAAGAATTTATCTATCTGACGTGAGATAGTAAAAACAAAATGTTTTACTTAAATGAAAACATTTTTAATGAATTCTCAGCTTCTGCAGATAGAATTAATTGATCACTGGACCAATCAACACATAAAACCCGATCTTCATGTCCTTGAAGATCATAAAGAGTATTTGAAATAGGCCTTGAATGATGTGAGTCTAACTGTATCTTTATCCTGGCTGTTGATTTAATGCATACCGACGTGTGGGAACGAAAAAAAGGAAGGGAAGACATATCTGTATGCGCATATTTCTTTTTATCAGTGTGTGGAAGAAAGAGCCCGTGCGAGTAGAATTACGCATCTTTTGATGAATAAAGTGACTCAACAACTATTCAAATCTTTACCTATCACAGTCGTTCATGAAGAGAAAGTGGCCACTCATTTGTTGGACATGCTAGAGTCAATCTTAACTAGTGATTCCTAGACACATGATTATCAAACGACACTCGACTATTCGACTCCTGACTCGGAACTCGACGGATGTGAAGTGGATCCGGATAATTCTTCCCAAGATCCCGACTACGAAGAAGATACAGAAGCAACAGTTTTCGAGGGCTTCAGTTTTTCTTATATGAAACGGACTCTTGAATTCTATGATGTTATCAACCCCAAAACTGGTAAAAGACAACATACATGGACTAATGTAAAATATCAGTTTCGACGCATACCGTATCAATATTATATGGCTTGTTTCCGAAAATACGTCGAGCAAGAAGGAAGGAAAAAGCAGAAAGTCGATTCGGTTGACGATTTCGTGTATGACAAGTTCGAGTGTGCTAGAGATTTACTTTGTCCAGTTCATGACATTGACTTGAGACGATGGGTCTATCAACAAGCAAGATCGATGTCATTCACCGAATTTACTGTGTCCGACACTTGTTACTCAATTTTAAACACAA